TATCCCCCAGATGAATGCAATCTTTCTGTGTCTATCCCGCTCTTTCTGACTCATTTCGCTTAACATGATACTTTCCATGTAGTACCACTTGTATGTAAATTTCATAACTTCATCTTTTCTAACAGCTACATAGTACTCCATTGTGTAAATGTACCAAAGTTTCTTTAACCAGTCATCTGTTCTCGGGCACTCAGGTTTTTTCCAGATTCTGGCTATTGTAAAGAGTGCTGCAATGAACAAACAATTGCAGATGTCACTTCGACTATACCTTTTTGCCTCTCTGGGATATATTCCCAGGAGTGCTATAGCTGGGTCAAATGGCAGATCAAATTCTAATTTTTTGAGAGTCGTCCATACTGTTTTCCAAAAGGGTTGGACCAACCAGCCTTCCCACCAGCAGTGAAGGAGGGTCCCTTTCTCGCCACATCCGGACCCGTGGGGATGGATGACGGGCACTGGTGGAGGGATGGGCACTTGATCATTGTATGGCTGAAACCCAAGCACAAAATTTGTGGGCCTATAACTGTACCTCATGGTTTTTCACTAATAAAAAAAGAAAAATAATAAATAAATAAAACAATGACAACAAAAAAATAGAAAGAACACAAACATATATTATAGAACACTGCACAGGGATAAAAAACAAACAAACAAAACAAAACCCCTGCTGTCTGAATTTACTAGATTTCTTAGGTGATAACTTCTTTTTTTTATTTTAGACAGTAATTTAATTTTCTTGGCTATCCACATCACAATTTTTGTTAAGGATAAGAATTAGAGAAAACACTAATACTCTACACAATTCATCTCTTCTATAAAAAGCAATATTCTTTTTTTTTTTTTTTTGCTTTTTTGGGTTACACCCGGTGATGATCAGGGGTTACTCCTGGCTCTGCACTCAGAAATTACTCCTGGTGGAGGTTGGGGGACCATATGGAATGTTGGGAATCAAACCCGGGCCGGCCGTGCGCAAGGAAAACACCCTACCCACTGTGTTATTGCTCCAGTCCCAAAAGTAATAGTCTTAACAAAAAAAAAAAAAGAATATATTTTTTTGTTGAATCACCTTGTGATACAGTTACAAAGTTGTTCATGATGAGATTTCTGGCATACAATATTCCAACAACCATCTCTTCACCTTTGTACATGTCCTGCCAGCAATGTCCCCAGTTTTGCTCTTACCCCACACCTGGCCTGTCAGCCTGCCTTCATGGTAGACCAAGTTTCTCTCTCTCTCTCTCTCTCTCTCTCTCTCTCTCTCTCTCTCTCTCTCTCTCTCTCCCTCTGAGTGTGTGTGTCTCCATCTGTCTTTTTGTCTCTGTTTCTCTCTATATCTCTCTGTCTCTCTGTCTCTCTTGCTCTCCTTTTAGGCACAGTGGTTTGTAATACTAACTTTAACTTTTTTGACACAATACAAGAAAAGTATCATGATTCTTTAAATCAAAATGAGTATAAATTCATTTTCCATTTCCCGTCTTTCCATGCTCTAATGTTGACTTTCAAACACTTAGTTTTTCTTTTAATTTCCTAAATGCTGTCCACAATACAATAAAAGTCAAAGTCAGTGGAAGTGTTCAACGGAGTCATTGCATATCTAAAAAGTCAGGTATTGTGGCTCAGGGCAAGGCACAAGCTTTGCATTTTTGAGGTCTGGCTACAATTCCCAGCACTGAAACAACTCTTGATTTTAGTTTGTGTGAGTTTGGCAAGGATTGAAATGAATGCAAAGAATAAATTAGAAAACAATAAAATTTCCACTGGAGGGGAGAAATGACCCAGTTATTTCTGAACAAGTAAGGAGTCTACCAAGTACTCAAAAACATCACACACACACACACACACACACACACACACACACACCAACAATTACCTGCAGCACTTTCCTCCTCACCCCTTACTGAATTACTGTTACCTCTCCAAAAACAAACAAAACTCCCCTGTGTGAAGTAACCTGGGAGGCCTGTGCCAATGGGCACAGGGCTTTAAACAATGGACAGCTACTATAGCTGGTGGCCTTCCTCACTCAGCTGATCATCCAGCCCCTCCACCCAAGGGTACACTGGCATGCAAAGTAGTGAATTGGCTTAGGCTCTTTTGTTACAAAAGCAAATGACCAAAGCAGAAAGAAATAGAAAATTCCCTCACATTTTAGAATGTCTATTACTTTCCTTCCTATCCTAAAAGGGAGTACAATTTTCCGTAAATGATAGCATTCCTTGGTGTTTTAGATTTGGCTCCCTACTATGTTTTCTTGTATTGCCTATGAAATGTGTCTAACAGGCCTCAAAGAAATAGAAAGGCAATAACATAACGTTAAAGCTTAAAAAAGATAGAGCTACACCAGTTCTGGAGATTAAAGTGAAACGTCCTATTAAGGACGCTAAACTACTCTTGCGCTCGCTTGCAAATAGAACTTGGGAGAGGTAGGGTGAGGAATTCTGTCTGTCCAATTAGACAAAGCTGCTTTACAATATACCTGATACCCTTTCAGTGACAGTATTGCAAAGCTCAGTGACCAAAAGGGGAAGGGGGAGGAGAAGAAAGTGTCTGGTATAGGGGCGGATAGAAGGCTGGGACAGTCAGGAGGTGCGGGACAGAAACAAGGGGCATTGGTGGTGGGAAATGTACACTTGTAAAGGGATGGGTGCTGGAGCACTGTGTGATTGAAACTGAATCAGGAACAACTTTGTAACTGTATCTCACAGTGATTCATTTTTTTTTTCCTTTTTAAAGCTGCTTTACAAAAGCGCACTCATCTTAAATCTAATCGATGCGACACCCCGGTTTTGAATATCAGTGTTGGGGCCAGAGAGAGCACAGCAGATAAGTCGCTTGCCTGGCACAAGGCACATCTGGGGTCCCCTGAGCACCGATCTGGAGTGACTCCTGAGCGCAGAGCCAGGAGGAAGCCGTGAGCACAGCTGGGTGTGGCCCCCAAACAAACCAACAAGCAGAAAGAATATCAGTGTTCTTTCATTCACTAAACACAAATAGAAAGTTATATGAAACCGAACGTCGCCACGAAAGAGATCTGCAGGGAGCAATAAAAGGCATCTGGGCGCCTTTGCTTGCAGATGGCAGTGCGCAGAGGGTTCTAGGGGAGAGACCCGGGAGCTCAGCGTAAAAACGCTTTATATTAAATCGACAAAAGACGGGAAATTACTTGGAACTCTGAGGAGTGGGTCTCCAGTGCCAGACCTTAGAAAGAGAGTTATCTAGAACTGAATTTGGCCTCCACCTCCTCCCGGGGTTAAAAAAAAAAAAAAAAAACATTAAGGAGAATCAGCCCCGCTGCGCAGTGCGCACTGCGGCCAGAGAGTTCGGGACTGGCCCCGCCGCGTTCCGAACGCGCTCGGCTGCCGCAGCGCGCCCGGCCGCGGGTCTATTCCGCCCGGCTCCGCGCTCCAGGTTTCCGCGGTCACCCGGCGCCGGAGCCCCGCTGGGAGGAGACCCGGGCGGGCGGGTGCGGCGGGAGTCCCGGGAGCCGCGGCCTTGCAGCGTTGCGCCCGGGAGGCGTTAGGGAGCGTGATCCTTGGGGTCTTGGACCCGTCTCGTTGACTTGATCCGGGGGGCTGGGGCTGCTGTGCAGTCATTTCCTCGGGGAGGGGGCGTCCTTAGCACGAGCCATCGAATGCCAGAAACTCTTCGGGTGGAGTTTTTCTTGGTCCTCCCTTAAGTAGCCGCAAGTTCTTGGGAGCTGGACTTCGGCTGTGCGGAGCCTGGAGCAGCTTCGTTTTGGCAGCGGAGATCTGTCTATCTAGAGGTGTTTGGCCAAGGAAGAGGCTTTGGGTGTCCTCAAAACAGAGGGTGGCTGCTTTCATGGAGGTGTGTGAGGGAGCGTTGCAAATCAGAAATCTCTCTGCATCCCTTCCCCCAATTCCCTTCCTTGATAATAAGATTCTTACCTGAAGGGAAACCTGGGGGGGGTGGGGAGGGGGCGTTAAGGGGGGAGTTTTCCACTGCATATAACCCCAAAGGGCTGAATAGTGCCTATTAGTCGGTAGGTAAGTGATTCATGAACTAGTAGTGAGTGATGAATGCATGCACAAACATACTTGTGCGGAAACTGCTCAGGTTAAAGACGTCTGAGAATCTCCCCCCCCTCCTCCCCCCGCATTCCAGGTAGAGAAGCGACCAAACGTTGGTTGGGCACAACTTGCCAAGTCTTCTAGACTTTGGGGAGCCAAGGGGAAGGGGATGGGTGGAGGGTATGGAGGGTGGATAACTGTCTAAGACGCTCAAGGACACAAAGGTGGCTTTAGGGAACTTTCTGGATCCAAACCCTCATACCAAGGATGGTCCAGTTCTCCACGTTCCCCATCCTCCCTCCCTTACCCCACCGTTCAAACATATCCAGATGTGCTGACCGCAGACTGAAGGAGCTTATTAAATGTTTGTTGAGGATTAGTATGATTAACGTCTCGGACCCAGTTCCCTTCAACACAGACTTCCCCCAAATCTTCTGGGCCAGGACCGTACAAGGCACTTGTTCCCCCCTTCCCCGCCCACTCCCCTAAAGCGCCCCGTAAAAGACCTCAAGACCCCACAAACGTGTCCATTTTGTGGGGCCTTGACAGCCAGTAGGCGGGGCATCACTCCCTGAACCGGGTTTCTGCAGCTTCTCCCGTCCTCTGGGACCTGATACAGGGTGGGCCCGGCGCCCCCTAGGACCGAGATGCGTGGGAAAAGTGGGCTTCCCGCATCCCATCTCTGTCTCCAGCCTCCACCAGCCGACTCGTTACCTGCGGGACGAGGTGAACCCGACCCATCCTCCCTCACCCCGAGAGCCCAGGTGCCTGCGGCTCGGGCAGCCAGCCTTCCCTTTCCGAGCTACTTTCCTTCGCAGTTTCTGCTAAAATCCGGAGACATGGAATCTACCCGCGGAAACTCCGACCCCTCGAACTGAGCATGCGCCTCTGCCAGGCGGCTTTTGGTCACCGGCTCGGAGCTCTCGGAGCTGGGACTGCAGAGCTGGAAGAGCAGGGAGGAGGAGAAAGGGGAGGGGGTGCCTGGAGAGGCGGCGACTCCCGCGCCTGCGCATCCAGCTCCAGGGACCATAGCTTTTCTATGGGATTCCCAATCTGCAGCAGAGATTTACCCGAGCGTGTGGCGGCAGCCGCTGGGCTTGCAAGGCGCGATCCAAGACGGATTTAAGCAGCCTAGCTCTCCAGAGGGGGGAAAAAAAAAGAGCGCGAGAGAATCACACATAAGACGGCTTAACCGTTTATTCGAGTTAACATAGAAATATATATATTTTAAAAAGAACTGTTGAGTTTTCTCATTTTCGTTAAGTGGCCGTGCGCAGCGCTATAACTGTAAGTGCAAAATACAATTTCGTTGCATTTCTGCGTGTGTAGTGCAGCCAATTGTCTGGGAGATGCTTCAGCTATTGTCACAGACTTTGCTTTGCATAGATGCCTCTAAATGCATGGTGGCAAATGGTTTGGTTAATGTTGGTGATTTAAATGTACGGTTAGCCCGTGAGAGACCTTTTTGAATAGTGGGGGTGGGGGGGAGTGAAGGATGTTTATATGCGGCGACTTTGGGGAATTGTCTTCGGCTAGATTTAAGAATCAGAGGTTCTTTTTTCAGTTTGCTATAAATAGGCGGGTTTCCTTACACGAATTTAAGTAGCTAATTGACCGATTGTGAAGTTTGCCGGTTGCTGATAAAACTATTGAGCGGTTGCAGTCAAGTACCAACCTGTCATCCGTGGGGCTGGTTGCACCATCTTTCTCACCGTGAAAGAGCAGCGAAGGTGTTTGCTGAGAGTAGAACTCAGTGGTAGAGATGGTCTGAAATTCAAGATTGATTTCCAAATGGGATGTTAGTGTTTCGCAGCCAAGGAACGAGGGAGGGCAAAATACAAGTGCATTTCTCTCGAGGCGTTGAGAAATGAGTATCTAATTGCTCGGTCTGGATTTTTTTTTTTTTTGTCATGATGGTGAATGGACAGAAAAAGGAAAGATGTGAAACCGCACAGTCAGCCGTCTATTTCGAAAAGAGTCTGCGCCTCGGAAGGAGGACTGTCAGATCCAAACTAGTTACCTGCCTCTGCATCCCATATTCGCCTTCGGAATGCAGCAGGGGCTAGACGCGGAAGCCCAGATGTGGTGCATTTGGTAGCGTTTGTTTAAAGGAGAAAAGGTCGCTTTGTATTTTGAGTTTAAATGGATTAATCCTATCCAGAAGCAGAAGAAGGGTCTTTGCAAGGTCAAAATCCCTGTGTGTGGTGGTGGTGGTGGTGGTGTGTGTGTGTGGGGGGGGGGGGGGGGATGAGGGGGGGAATCAGGGCTCTGGTGGATGTTGGGGGTGGGAGGAGGCGGGGGAGGGGGACACTATGCCAAAGCTACACTACACGCATCAGTGCCCTGGGAGAGGCAGGAGTGGGAATCCATTTTTCTAGAGTTGCCCTCCTGTCCATATTTTGGAGCTCAAAATGAAATAGAAATGCTTGTGGTTGTAGAAACACAAAGACCTATGATTCAAACACACCCCCCACCTGAAAACAAGAGGTGTCAGGGAGTCACATTTCTACATATGGATTTTTTAAAACGTTTAAGGAATTTAGGGGTGCAATCCACTGAAAAGGAAACTCCCTGAAAGCACATTTGACCCCACTACCACTGAAACTGCTTGTGTTTGTGTGAGGGGTATGGTGTGGGGGGAGGAGGGGGTTCTGCATGGTTGAACACTGCACTCCTGAGTGCATTCTCATTAAGCTCAAGTGTTTAATAACCCCAGAAAATGCTGCACCGGAGCAGATGGTGAGAATGACATGAAGCAGGCAAACAGAAGAGCGTGGTCAGTGTTGTGCTGGATTAGGTCAAATTTCTGGGATGAAATCAATCCTTCTCTGACCCTACCCCAAAAGGGAAGCTTGTAATTGGGTTCGTCGTCGGCCCTTAAAGCAATCCAACTATTTGGAACTCCTCAAAAGAATTTAGAATTAAGTTAAACGAGGGAACATTGACATTTAACATGTGAGATTATCCTCTCCTTAAAGACCCAAAGTACACATTGTATCACCTCGATTCTTTCCATCCTTACTCCAGGGCAGAAGAACCAAACACTTGTCACTATTGAGCCATTCTCCTTGTTACCACTGAGAGTTGGCATCAGTTCCATGAATGGTGCAGGTGGCACCCTCCATGGAGAAATGGGGGATGGGGAAGAAAAGGAGGGAATCTGGCATCAAAGAGCTCATAAGTGTTCAGTCTTAGGTGCTCTCGTTTGAAAGCTTTCAATTTTAGAGACCCACTTGGGACCGAGAGCATAGAAGGCATCTAGTCTTTGCTTTGCAGGTGAGGAAATTCAGTCCTAAACCAGGGAACCAGAGAAAAGTCAGTTCACTTCCTGTCTATGAAATGAACACTGAAAGGTAATGATGAGTGGAAATGTTCCTGTCCTCTGCACATATAGCATCTTTGGTGACATTGCCGAAGCCTTCAAATAAATCAATGCCTGTTCCCCAGTTTAGCTTTCCAGAGGTCAGTTCTCTTTCCGACTACAGCGAATCTACACCCCCCCCCCACACACACACATACACACATACACACACCTTTCCTTTTGTGTCAGGCCTCTATTTCTCTTCTATTGTCCCTCACCTCTAAGAAACCCATCTCTAGGCAAGGCTTCTTCGCCTTCTGCATTCAATTCATTGCCTTGCAGTTTTTTTTTGTTTTTTTGTGTGTTTATTTGAGAAAACTGACAAACTAGTGGAATTCTTCAGCTCCTGTCTGAGGACTACCCAGGCCAGTGTCCACCCTCCCCTTCAAAGAATCCAGCCTTCTGAGCAGCTGCCAATGATGAGGTGCAGTCCTGGATCTTCAACCCCGCTCCCCTCCCCAAGCTGCGGCAGCTGCGGATTAGGGCCGAGTGGAGTGAGGAAGCTGCAGTGTAAACACACAGTGGGCTCTGCCAGCTCTCCTCTGGCTCCTAGAAGGCAGAACCCAAATCCAAGATGTCTCACTGCAGCCTTCATGGAAATCCTCCAGATGAAGCCACCTGCAGAGAATGGGGGAGGGGGGGAGAGTAGGGGGTGACTTTCCTGGTTCAACCTGAAGAGGGCGCTATAGAGAGCAATGCGGTTTTTTTTTTCCTTTTTTTTTTTTTTTTTAGTGTTTGGACCTCGAAAAGCTTGGCAAAACTCATCTTGCCGAATAGGGACTGAAAAGTAGGCAATAAGGCCCACATAATTGGCTTTCTCTTTTCTTTTTACTTCTCCTTTCCTCTAGCTTACTCTCTCCCTCCTTCCTTCCCCACCCTCTACCTCCCTCTATTTCTTCCTCCCCCCCTTCTCTCTCTCTTTCTCATATTTTTTTCTTGTCTTCTACCAAAATTTCCTGAGTGCTTATACACTAAAGACCTAGACGCTTTAAAGATTTGGACCCTCCCGTTCCTTCTCCTAAAATGCAATCTTGCAGGCACTCAAAAAGATAACCACAACCCCCACAAACGTCCCCTTAGAGAAATTGCTGGTAATTCTTACCTGAAAAGCTGAGGCATTAGAGGGGGGAGGCTTGAGGAAGACAGACTGCTTTTCTCTCTTTGGGAGAGTAGCTAACTACCCTTGGACGTTGTTGAGGAAGCCTAGGAAGACAGGTGGTGAGTTTTCCTTCCAGTTAGTAATTGAATCGGACCCCTCCCTTCATAGTAACCCTTTATTGATTTGGGATGAGCTCTGCCTTGGGCAGAGTTGATGTTTTAACAAATGCTCCAGGGTCAGATCTCTCTGGGTCTTGCAATTCCATTCTGAAAACAGGCTTGACCAACTATGCTGAACTTCCCAGGCAGCGCCTGAGAACAGATTTGGAGTTGCACTGCTTCCATTTGTTCTATTCTGAATCTTATTCCGTAATTAGATACAGGACAATTAGAAATGTTGTCCTGGGTCGGCTATAGGTTTTCTATTTGGGTGGCATCTAGGCATGGATTCTAAATATTGCTGAGAAACCTGGGAATCCATTAGAAGGAGAGGCAGGATAACGTCAATATCAAATGTGTTGTTTCCTCGTTTGTAACAGCAATATTTTTTTAATGTCGTAAAGATCTTTTTGTTTGCATTGAATGATATCTGTGCTTCTACGATTAGTCATTATTCAGGAAGGAAGGAAATCGTATAGAAGGAATCATTGTTCTTTAATCTTAAAGTGAACTTGACAATGTCCATTTCATTTAAACTTGGTCAATATAAGTATGTTTATTTTTCCAAATTATCAAATGCTGTAGAGATAAATTTAGAGTCCAGAGTGCTAGCTATTACACCATGGAACCCCACCAGAGATAAATTCATATATGTTTTGATATTTTTGCTATCCTAGTAGTTAATTCACAGTATTAACAGGGTGTATGAACTGAATGAGGGCCATATAATGTACCCAGCTCATCCCTCCACTAAAGAAAAATAGGAACATTTTTATCTTAAAGAAACTCAAAAATGAAATCACAGGCCACAAGTGCAGAGACTTTAATTACCTTTTTCATATCTCTACAACATCTTCATAATGCTCTCATAGCACTCTTATATTTGTCAATTGAATATTTGCCCCAATAAAATCAGTTCTATGTATCTTGTTAAATGTGTCAGGAAGTTAAGTCATTTCTATTAAAAACTAAAATAAAATAAAATAAAGGCCCTCCCGTTGATCGTCGATTTGCTCGAGCGGGCTCAGTAACGTCTCCATTGGAGACTTTGTTGTTACTGTGTCTGGCATATCGAATACTCTCGGTAGCTTGCCGGGCTCTCCGAGAGGGGCGGAGGAATCGAACTCGGGTCGGCCATGTTGGCCGCTTGTAAGGCAAACGCCCTACCCGCTGTGCTATTGCTCCAGCCTATGTACAGTTAAACTTGTTTTACATATCTTTATCGTACTAAAAGGAAATTTAGTACATTTTCAGGAAGGTGTTTGGGCCATAGAGGAGAGCTCTGGGCTTACTCTTGGCTCTGTACTCAGGGGCTACTTTTGGTGATGCACAAGAGACTGTATGTGATGCCAGGAATTGAATAAGGGTCAGCTGCGTATTTGGCAAGCTCTGTAACCTCCATACTATCTCTTGGACCGAGACAAAATATTTTATAATTTATTTTATAATTTTTTTGTAAATGCATTAAAAACACTATAGTAAATATTTTTCTTTAAGAGCTTAAAGTCCTTATATCAGTATCCTTCTTATCTCTTGGGTGAAAAATACAGAAAAGAGGGAATGTAACCATTTATTTACATGATGGTCTCTTGAGCTATAGAAATATTTTAACTTCACACTGAAGGGACTACAACACTGCATTTCTCATTTACAGTTTGTTTCTAAAGAT